CGCTCAGTCGTGCCCATCTCTTTGCGACTCCCTGAACTCCTTGGTCCATGGGATTCTCCAGGCAAGGATACGGGGTTGGGTTGCCATGCCCTCTTCCAGGGATCTTCCTGACCCAGGGGTTGAACCCAGGACTACTGCATTGCAGGTTGATTCTTTATCATCTGAGCTACCAGGGAAGCCCAATAGGGTTTATGGAGGAGGTAATTTTCTCTGACCTTGTCCTCTTAAGTCAGAGAAGACAACTTTCTAAGGAGTGATACTGACCTAGTTCTTAGATCAACAGGACCCCTAGTTCCGGGGTGTCACCTTGACCTTGAACCTGGATGTCCAAAATCAGGAGAGGAGAGGTCTGCTGGAAAATATTCTTCCCCCTGCACACACATCCCTCCCTGCTGTGAACCTTCCTGTGGGTGGAGAAAGGCAGGCCAGGACCATGGTTGACTTACAGAACTTCAGCACCTTCTTTCTTTCTAAACAACTTTTATTTTACATTATTTTTATAGATAAAAAAACTTTTATTTATAATTATAATCGATTTACAATGTTGTATTAGCTTCAGGTGTTGGGCAAAGTGATTCAGTTATACATGTACATATACCTGCTCTTTTTCAGATTATTTTCCTAATAGGTTATTACATAATATCGAGTAGAGTTCCCTGTACTATATAGTATATCCTTGTGAATTACCCAATTTATAAATAGTAGTGTTTATATGTTAATACCAGCCTCCTAATTTATCCTTGTTTCTTAAACACAGAAGATAGCATTATCCATTGAAGAGAAAAGAAGATCCTTTGAACCTCTTTATGGAGAGAACTGAGCCCAACAAGGGGGCTTCCCTAATAGCTCAGTTGGTAAAGAATCCGCCTGCAATGCAGGAGACCCCTGTTCAATTCCCAAGTGGGGAAGATCCACTGCAGAAGGGATAGGCTACCCACTCCAGGATTCTTGGACTTCCCTTGTGGCTCAGCTGGTAAAGAATCTGCCTGCTATGCAGGAGGCCTGGGTTTGATTCCTGGGTTGGGAAGATCCCCTGGAGAAGGGAAAGGGTACCCACTCCACTATTCTGGCCTGGAGAATTCCATGGACTGCATAGTCCATGGGGTCACAAAGAGTCGGAGACAACTAAGTGATTTTGACAGGTACAGGCACAGGAGCCCAGCAAGAGACGTGAGATGGCGATGGTGTACACCTTGGTGTCATACAGACTGGTTTCTATTTTTTGTTGACTACATACATTTTAATTTTTCTCTCTTTTAATTGTGAAATATATAAAACATACCCACCACCCAGATGTACAGATGTTGATACTGTGCAATAGTTTTCTTTACCAGAAAAATGATATACTTCAAATATTGTTGAAGCTCCATCCACCTCCCCAAACCCTCCCTTTTCTTCTCAGTAATTAATATCCAGAAGTTGTTACCTAACATCCCCATGCATATTTTTATAGTTAACTACAAATATCCATGTAAAGTATTGTTGATATGCATACCATTGAATAATACTGCTCTTCATGGTTAAAAAGATGGCATCAAGCCATACAGATTCTTTTGCAATCCGTCCAGGGCTGCTGGTCCATGGACAAGTTGCATCATCTTTTTGAGCTCCAGGCAGGTTGTTAAGATACTGTTCATCCTAGGTTGCTTTATCTTAGGTTGTGTTCATCCTAGTCCAGTCCAGGTGAGCAAGGATTGCAGCTTGGAGGGGAGGAGACAATTTGCTATTACAAAGGTAGAATCAGCAGGACTTTGTGACTAATTTGATGTGTGGAATGACAAGTGTGATTCTGGTAACTGGCTAGCAGATAATGCCAGTCACTGAGATTAGGAGGGGAGAGGCATGGGGGGCGGTGATGCGATGCTGGTCTGGGAAAGTCAGGCACTGGATTCCCTTTCTGACCCATAGAGTTGGAACACAGATGGGGAGGTTCAGGAGGCAGCTGGATTTTTGGACCCCAAATTCAGACAGTGGTTGGGAGCCTACGGACATGCCTCTTTGGGATCCCTGAGCATCTGGTGAGCATTCACTTTGGGAGGGAGGGGCCAGGGCACTCATCATGCGTGGTTCAAATTCCTTTGCCTGGAATCCATTGTGTGATTCACCTGATTTCTTCAGAACAAGTAGCAACATGAGATGGAGATTTCTTCATTGTCATGTCAACTTGAAAGGTTAGGGCTATATCTGAAAACTTTTTTTCCCCCTCATAACCTGTTGTGAAATTAACAGAATCAGCTCTGAAGGGTACTTCTGTTTTCAGATTTTACCATGCTTTCATGTTAATAGGTTCATAGACTTTATTGACCTTGGCAAATACTTTTGCCTAAACTTACCCCCTGGTGAAACTTCAAGGCACCACAGCCTTTTCTGGGATGAATGCCAGAGCTCCTGTCTCCACCTGCTCCCTTCCCCAGCGTTTGGTCTGGGAACCCAGTGAGTGCTCTTCTCCAGGTTAGGACCCAGGTGATCTCTCGCTGCTCTGCTTTGTGGCTCACTGCGGACCTGGTCAGGGGCTGTGGGTCCATCCTCACTAGTTAGCAGCTGGTTCTTCACAGGGAAATGTGGGTTTTTTTGCTTTATTAAAGGAAGGATGCTTGCCCCCCACCTCATCCCCAACCCAGTCCCATCCCTGCCAAAAAGCCCAGCTTGATGTCCTATAGACCTCCTTTTGGATGGTAGGAATCTCCCTGCAGTGGCCCAGGTAAAAGTGCTGGGAAGGTGCTGTTACTGTAAGGATCCAGAAAGATCTGGGGGTTTAGGGCAGGGAACAACTGCAGATGGGGTGGTACCCAGAGGCACCTCTGACCCTGCTTTTCTCTCCTGTCTCCCTGCTTTCTTTTCTTACTCTCTTCTCTCCCCATCTCTCTTCTTCCTCATCCCCTCTTTTAACTCTCCCCTTCCCCTCCATCCCTCTCCCTCTTCAGTCCGTCTCATCCTCCCCCATCTGTCTCTCTCCCTCCCTCTCCCCTTTCTCTCCCTCCTCCTCCTCTTTCCTTGCTCCTCCTTCTTTCTCTCCCCTCTCCCTGCCTGCTCCCTCTCCCTCCCCCTCCCCCCCTCCCCCCTCCTCCCCCTCCCCCCCTCCCCTCCCCACCCCTGTCACACTTACAGGAGGAATGTCTAGGTTTCAGTCACTCTAGGTCCCTCTTACTACCAACTATTCATCTTTTTCTTCGCTCCATTCTGCTCTTACCTGTTTCCCTTCCCACTCCCACCCCCCAAAACTGGCAGCTGACTTGTATCTGGTCCATAATTGCCCAGACTCCAACACCACATGACCTTTGTGCTCTAAAGCCCCCGGCCATCTGGCAATCATCTCTCTGTGACTAGGATTCTAAGCCCCCTAGAGAGGGTCCCAACTGGCTCAGCTCATTTTCCTGAGTCTGGCCACTCTGTCCCAGGCTGGCAGGCAGCCTGGGGATGGGTCCCCCCTCAGGATAGACACACCTGGGCCCATCAGCAGTGGCAGGGGGTGGGCCAGAGTTACAGAAGCCCCCGTCTACCTAGGTAGAGCCCCTGAGAAGGCGTGATCGGGTCCCTCTAGCACAAAAACTATGTCATAGACCCCCTCCTGTTTATTCACACCAGGAAGGAGATCTTACATTTGGCTCAAGCTGTGAATGGGAGTCATGGTTTGTAAACTGTTCCTAGTCACCTCTGCACGAATGGAAGGGTATACATCTCTCAAGTAATGAATTTAGCATTTTCCGGCCCCACCAAACATGGCATGAAATTAGACTTTCAGTTGAAGTGTTCGTTTTATTCATACAGTAGGGGTGCAAGGTCGACTGGCTTATTGCCACACAAATTTCTTTGGTGCATAAAATAGACTGTGAAGTGTGCTGTTTTTCCATCATGAAGACTCTGGATGCCTGATTTGAAACATGTATTCCCCCAAAGTTGAGTGCTTTGTCATATCCTCACCGAGTGGTGAAGCAGGGGCAGACGCTGAACAGGGCTCAGGATGCTGGTTTGGTGGGGGAACTGCATCCTGTCAGGGGCTCAGTGGCCACTGATGCCACAGCCCCAGGTCCTTTGTGGTCCTAAGTTACAAAACTGGCTATTATTACACTTGCCTGGAGTGTGTGAAAACAGGCTTCAAATGGGGAAAACCTTGACCCACTTTCCTACAACTGGAAAACATTACAGACCTTGAATCTTTCAAATGTCCAAAAAAAAACCTCAAAGGACAACCCACAGAATCCGACTTCTGTAACTTAGTCACACAGAAACATGAAGAGGGAGAGCGAGCCTGCTTTCTCCTCGCAGGTGGTTTTGGTTTAGAAATTGTGCCTCAAATTCAGCGCTCACGAATAACAGACGAGAGGTTCTGTTTTGCTTCTAAGAAAAGTAAGACGACTCGTGAATGTTTCAGGACTCATCTGAGCCTACATTTAATCTTTCTTCCACCTTTTGTCTACCTGAATGTTCTCATTACCTCTCCTATCTGCCAAATCAATCACTGTATGCTGTGGGAAACGCTCATCTCCCAATGATCCGAATTAGGTGGGATCCAGTTCTAACAACATGAGTTAATCATCACTAGAAATATTGGCAAGAGCTGGGGATGTTTGTGTTCCTCGGGGACAGCTTACCATCTCCAGATAAGTATTCCAGTCCAACTGACTGCCTTCTCTGTGCTTTCCTTCCCCCAAACTTCCTCCCTCATAAGGAAGACAAGCCAAAAGCAAAGTGTTGGATCCCTGGTAATTTACAAGGCAAGGACAGTACTTCAGAGCAGTCAGCCTCGAGCCATCGTTGGTATTCAGCAGTAGGTCACTATATAATATATTTCTTCTTGCAAAGTTATACAGCATCCATGTGACTGTTTTTTTGCCTTCAAAGTCCAGTCAGATTACTTTTAAAAGAAGTTTTATGAGTTGGATTGCCAAATCTGTGCCGTTTCCATGTTAAGAACTCCTGTCTTTGTGGTCTCCCAGCCGTGAGACAGGTTTTTATGAGAATGAAAAGAGAAACGCCTTCTCCTTGTGTCCCCTCTTTAGAATAAGAAGGTCTACTTGGACATCATCCACACATACACGGAAGTACACGCAACTGTTCACGGCTCCAGCACGAAGAACATTCCCAGTTACGTGAAAAACCATGGGATCCTCAGTGGACGTGACTTGCAGTTTCTTCTCCGAGAAACCAAGGTGAGTTTTTCATTGTTGTTATAAAAATGCATCCATGATGTTGGGCAGAGGCTTGCTTCTGTTGGTGTTGAAAATGGGATCAGCATCTCCCATGCTTTCTTTTCATGGGCGTCTTGATCTTCTGGTCCTTTCTGGGCAGTGATACATTAAACCAGTTATAGCTTAAAAGGTAGTGAACTGTGGAAGGAGATTGCTACCACTGAAGGCTCATCTACTGAGGACCTGCTTTGTGCCAGCCATTAAGCGAGGGGCTGGAGACACCGTGGCAAGCAGGAAAGGGGAGGGTGTCACCCTTTCTCAGAGAGCAGCCGCTTTCTCAGCAAGCCTGGAGTGCTTCCCTCCCGCACCTCCCCAGTCATCTCTGTGTTTCATCACATTGGCTTGTTCAAAAAGTTTTTACTGGGCACTGGAGAAGTTCAGATAAGGGGAGAGTCTTTGGGGCTCTCCCCAAAGGTGTGAGAGATAGAAGATGGGTGCGGTGTGGATGCACTGGGCATTTGGCACAAACAGGAGTGAGTCAGATTGCAAGGGTGGAGACGATACCTTCAGGAGAGTCAGGAGGCCAACCCGGTGAGTCTGTGTTGGGGAATAGAGGAAGATAGAATTTGGCAAGGAGCTGAGGGTCTGATTGTCACAGATGTAGAATTCAGTGTATGTGTGTGAATAGATGGGAGAGCCACTGGGGGAGGGCATTTTTGTGGCATGATAAGCATGGTTTTGTCACCATAAGGGCATCCACATGGCAGTCTCTGTCCTTTCTGGATGCACCCAGTGAAGTTAGGGGACCTGCAAATAGAATATTGTTGGACCTCTAAGGGTTGGCTGGCGCTTTGATGTATTCCTCATGTTTATTAATCTTTTTTGTTAATCCAACATATTTAGTATTGAAAATATCCAGAATAAATGTGTATGTGTGTTTATGTACATGTATAAATATATCTTGAAAATCTCTCCCTATCAGAAATTGCTGGGCTAAAGGATATATACATTTTTAAAGGTTACAGCCAAAATGACTCTGTAGATATTATATAGTCTGTCAGTGTTCATACTTTTCCCATCTTTTGAGCGAGATAGACTACCTTTTCACACGTTTATAATGTAGATTCCTGAAGGCTGCCTAAAAATGCTGCACGTTCTTTAGGTAAAATACTACAGTCCATTAAAGGGTTGTAGTATTGAACACAATAGCATCACAGGTATAAGACGGATACATCAGGCTACAGTGAATTGTTTAAATAATAAAAGAGATGAATTGTTTAGATAATAAAAGAGAATTGCAGTACATATGAAAATCCTCTTTATTAATTAACACATGTATGTGGAATTTAGAAAAATGGTACGGATGAATCTGTCTGGCAGGGCAGGAATAGAGATATAGATGTAGAGAATGGACATGTGAGCAAGTTGGATGGGAAGTGGTGATGGGGTGGTTGGGATTAACATACGGACACGACCACGTGCAAACTAGCTAGTGGGAACCTGCGGTGTAGCAACAAGCAGCCCAGCCACGTGCTCTGTGATGACCTAGAGAGCGCAGTGGGCTGCGGTGAGGGGTCCAAGAGGAAGGGGTATACACACCCACACGGCTGATTCACTTCGCCCTACAGCAGAAACTTACACAGCATTGTAAAGCAATGATTACCCCCATTTTACAAACAGAATAGTAAAAAAAAAAGTAAACTCTTCTCTGTGAATTTTACACACATGTCTCAAGCAGCTCCCACGTGTCCGGCATCACACACAGGATGCAACAGCAAAGAAACAAGCATGATCTCTGCCCCAGTGTTTCCTCAGGCTGAGGGAAGCACATTTTATCAACAGTGAATTGTTCAGCGCTGGTCCCTGCTGGCTGCATTTTCATTTCCAGGGTAGAGGACAGAGGCTGAGTGGACAAGCGTCTGTGGCATCACAGCATTTCTGATCCGTGTGTGTGATACATCAATGTGGGAAGGCATAGTCACAAATGTTGTCCTGTTTACTTCTCACAAGTAAGCAGAGGCAGGCAGGGCAGGTATTACTATTCACTTTATTCTAAACAGGAGGAAGTAAGACTACGGAGTTGGGCTTGTCCGCAGTCACGGAGGTCACCCTGGAGATAACCATGACTCAGGAGTTTTTTTTTGGTGAGGGGGTAGCAAATCAAAGCTCTGCTAGGCCCTCCATGAACCATCCTAATGAATAAACCCATGAACATAAGAACATTCAGTGGATACTCACCAGCTGAAAGAATCTGCATCTCCTTTCTGCATTTGAACATTGCTACCTCCCAAGTCATGCATGTGGTGCTATGAATACACTCATTTTATGGTTTTCTCTTCTTGGCCAAAGATCTGGTTTGCTTAAGATTTCATTTTCATACAAGGTCATCTGCAGGCTGACGACGGGGGCCATTCCAGAGCGAAGTGTGCCCACCGGTTTTTACTATTGACTTTGCGTTCACCTTCTGTCTTAGGAGGACGTTTGGAGGCATTAGAATGTCAGGGCTCTTTGGCAGCAGTGCTGTTTTTGCCTCATTCTACTTTCCCCCACATCAGAATGTGGAAACAGCTCAAGCTCCTTTAAAAGTACATTTGGCAGCACTGGTTCTCCGTCATCACTGTCTCACATGCTTATGTTAACCCAGCCTTATGAATGTCTTACTCAGCTTTGTAGATCTTAAAAGAACTCTTCCTTGCCGACCATCCACTTACCCTGTTAGAGAATGAGAAATAGGCCGAAGCTGGGGTCCCTGGTATTTGGGGAGGAGCAGAGAGCGGGTCTGGAAGGCCTGGGCCATGATATAAGATATTGCCCAGGAGCCAAGGATTACATTGAAATTTTGAGTGCAAGGAGCAACTATTTATTCTTGAAAAACTGGTACCTTCAGAGGATGTCGCTGATCCCATTTTGTATTGCCTGTTCCTCTGACTAGCATATATGAAAGCTCTCCAAGTAGAATTACGGCTAAAACAGTTGGTAAATGCGATGAAAATGAGGCAGTGTATCTCTGAGCCTCCCCATATACCCAGAACACAGCAGCAGGCAGTGAAATGAATGAATCTTGGGCTTTGGAATAATGACACTAAAGACTAGTCAGGCTTTGCATTTATAACCCTTTCTGCCTCTAACTCCTTCCTCAGTGTCTCTGAGCAATTTAAAAGCGATTTATTCCAATCCACATCGAAAGTGGAGAACTGGGGATGCAGAGAAGCAAATGCGCGTGGAATAAATGGGACTTGCACACTCCTCAGACTTGTTATGAGAGCAGGAAGTGGGTTGGGTGCCCCTCGAGGTCTAGACACAGATTGAAATGATGGATGCATAATCAGCTTCTGACTCATTATTTTTCTTTATGAACCATCTTTGAATTTCTGCATCAAGCCAGGAAACCGTCTGCTCAGCAGAATTTTGTCCTGGCGTGCCAGGAGGGGCCCAGGTACACGGAGCCTCTGGAGACAGGATGGGATCCGTGTCGCCCTCACATCAGGGCTCAAAGAGCTGGGAAATTGTTGAATCTGGAAGACTCTTCTAATAGACATATACATGTGGATGAACTCATGATGTATCAGAAGACTGTAGACAAGCCATTCAGGCCAGCAAAATCCAGGAGAGCAACTTAAGCCAGCAGTTAAGGGCTGAATGGGGTAGCACATTTTAATTTTTAGCTTCAAACCCCATCTCTCTTAATGAGGTTTCTTTCTTCCATTTCCCAAATTTCACCTCTCCGTGCCCACATACCCCGCTTTCATTCTCACCAGGGAATTTCCTTATGAAATGGGGCATTCACATCCCACACTGGGTTGGAGGACCATTCGGAGTGAGCCCAAATGGGAACCCCCATTTCTGACAGTGAAAGTCGAGAACATATTGTGCCTGTGTGAACTCAGAGGAAGTAGCAGCTGCTGCTCCTCCACGCACCTTTTCTGCCCACACCTCTGGCCATGTCCCCCTCCAGCCTTTGTAGGGTGTGACGGCCCTGTTTCCCTACCAGGTCATCTCAGCAGCTTAACTGTGGGGCTCCCCAAGAAGACTAGACAGAGTTGGAAGACAGGCAGTGTGCACTTCTGTTCCTGTTCTAACCCATCCTTGAGTCTGGTCTCTTCAGTCAACTGTGGCTCATCCCACAAGCTTGGATGTGGTTGCACAAGCTCTCTCAACCCAGGCAACCTCTGGGGCTCCAGGCAACCTCTGCCCGGGGACCAGAGATGGAACAGACTCCTTGAGCAGCTCCATGAGAATTCAAGGGCTCCGCTTGTTCTGTTGGCAGTGCCTTCTTGGGGCCCGGCTTGTAGAGGCCTTCGGGTAACTGTATAAAGAATGATGAAGGAGACAAAGAGAAGTCCACTGGTCATCTGGGGTCTTGGGGCCATACCCTTAGGAGTGATTTCTTGCTTTTCTCAAGAATCGTGTGCCTTGATCTCTAAGGTCTCCCCAGCAGGGTACTAGGTCCTTCTGATACCCAATGCCTGCCTGTCTCCCTGTGGTGTGCCCACATCTCCAGGCCCTGTGAGAGAGCTCAAGAGTGAGCTTACTGATGAAGCAATCCATCTTCTATGTCTGTTTCAGATACTGAAATATTTACCCTCAGGCAGTCAAGCAAGTGACCGGTTGCAAAAGCCATTTTCATTCTAACTGGATGGGGAGTAATTTGTGTACACATGCCCGCACCTTCCATCCTCTCCCCTCCCCTCACATATATGTACGTAAAATGAAGAATGTTTGGACATAGGATTCAATAACCTCTGTGACTTCAAGAACAAAAGTACCTCCTCACACAGAAATAGCACACAAAAATTGCTCATCCTCTCCTTCCAGGGATGCTCAATTGCTGGAAGATCTGGCAATTCTTATTCTTTTGCCCATTTATCTGACAAATGTTGGTGAAGTACAGAATATATTCCAGGACTTGTGCTGGGCCTTCTGGATCTGGGGCAGACTAAGGCAGTCATGCCTACAGGAGGATACCACTGTGGCCGAGGAGGCAGACAGGTAACTAGGTGACATAACTGTGAAAAGTACAC